TGGTGCTTAGGGACATGGTTTAGTGGTGGACTTGGCAGTGTGAAGTTAATGGTTGGATTCGATGATCTTTAGGGTGTTTTACAACCTTTATGATTCTAATCGGCACATCTAAGAGATGATGCTTCAGCCACCTCACATTGTCCATTCTCTGCCACGTGTCACAGCCCACCGGGGTACAGGCAGACAGCATCCATACCTGGAGGGCTCGCACTCTGCTCTCCTGCGCTGGGTCCGTCCCTAGCCCCAGCCAGGTTTGCCCGCTGCCCTGTTCCTTGGTGGACGTCCCTGACAAGGCTATGGCATTGCAGCAGTTGACTTTTCACAGAATCACAGAATCACAGAATCACAGAATAGTAGGGGTTGGAAGGGACCTCTGTGGGTCACCCAGTCCAACCCTGCTGCCGAAGCAGGGTCACCCAGAGCAGGCTGCACAGGACCTTGTCCAGGCGGGGCTGGGATAACTCCAGAGAAGGAGCATCCAAAAAAGTACTCCAGATGAGGCCTCACCAGGGCAGTGTAGAGGGGAAGGAGAACCTCCCTCATCCTGCTGGCCACACTCTTCTTGATGCACCCCAGGATCCCATTGGCTTTCTTGGCAGCCAGGGCACACTGCTGGCTCATGGTTAACCTGTCGTCCACCAGGACACCCAGGTCCCTCTCCACAGAGCTGCTCTCCAGCAGGTCCACCCCAAGCCTGTACTGATGCATGGGGTTGTTCCTCCCCAGGTGCAGGACCCTGCATTTGCCTTTGTTGAACCTCATCAGGTTTTAGGCGGTTTTTAATAGTTGCGGGTTCGAAACAGCTCTGGGGGTTGAATTGTGAGCTCTAGTTTAGGTTAGCTCCCTTGATCAGCTTGCTGGGGTGGTGTTTCATGGTACGGCTGCTCACCTTCAGCAAGATGAGCCTGAGATTTTTTTAGCATTAATTTTTCTGTACCTAAGGTTGGTTGTCTGCTAGCCTGGGGCAACGCCTCCCTCAGATTTGTGCTTCAGGGTGCGATGTGTTCAAATGTGCCTGAGTTCATCCATGGGAGCGGCAGATGGGACTGTGCTGCTTTGAAAACCTCCTCTTGATACGAGTCTTCTTAGACTGAGGGGCAGGCCCCAGCACGACTGATCCTTACCTAGGCAATCGCTGCTTGGAGGCTGCTTCCAAAGCGCTGCTGCTGTTACATGTCTCTGCAAGGGGACGCGTGATGTGGGGTCAGCTTGATGTCAGCTACCACAGTTGACTTGAGCAACAGAGTCCTTTTAGGAATATACAGATATTTTTTAATTTTCTTTTTTCTTTGCAGAGATAGACAATGTGGGGCAAGGTCACATCCAGCTGGCGCAAACCCTTCGGGAGGAAGCGAAGAAGATGGAGGACTTCAGGGAAAAACAAAAACTGCATCGGAAGAAGGTCAGGTGCCACGGGAGCATGCATCTTTGCCCCAGGGTGTCAATCCGGCCCCAGTGATGTGCTGCTCCCGGCCGCTGTCTCCTGCCATGCCCCAGCCCCCACCATGCCCTTGGTGCCTGCCGCTGCCCGGAAGTCCTGAGCTGCTTCCTACGTGTTGCAACCACGTTGGAGAACTGCGCGGCAACCCCCAACTTCCTTCTTCTCACTGCTACATCTTCTCCTTTGGGCACCTTTTGGGGCCAGCTATAGCAGGGGCTCAGCTCCAGGGACTCCAGCCTCGACCAGGAATGTTCTCAAAGCATACATATAGTGCTGTATGATCTCCATGGGGTCTGCTAAAACTGGCAAGCCTTTTAACTTCTTGCTTGAGATTGCTTTGTCTGGAAAATGAGGGAAAGCTGCTAGAACCAGGGGCTGGTTTGGACCTAGTGGAGGAGAGTGGGCTTCCCAATTATGCCAGACCCTATGGAGATGATACAGTACTATAGAATCATAGGATAATAGACAGTTTGGGTGGGAAGGGACCATTAAAGGCCATCGAGTCCAACCCCCCTGCAGTGAGCAGGGACATCTGCAACCAGATCAGGCTGCTCAGAGCCCCGTCCAACCTGGCCTAGAATGTTTCCAGGGATGGGACATCTCCCACCTCTCTGGGCAACCTCTGCCAGTGTTTCACCACACTTAGTGTAAAGAATTTCTTCCTTAGATCTAGTCTAAATCTCCCCTCTTTCAGTTTAAAACCATTTCCCCTTGTCCTGTCGCAACAAGTCCTGCTAAAAAGTCTGTCCCCATCTTTCGTATAAGCCCTCTTTAAGTACTGGAAGGCCACGGTAAGGTCTCCCCGCAGCCTTCTCTTCTCAGGCTGACCAGCCCCAGCTCTCCCAGCCTTTCCTCACAGCAGAGGGGTTCCAGCCCTCGGATCATTGCTGTGGGGCAGAATCCCCTCCCTCGACCTGCTGCCCACACTGCTTTTGATGCAGCCCAGGGTATGGTTGGCCTTCTGGGCTGTAAGCGGACATTGCTGGCTCGTATCCAGCTTTTCATCCACCAGCACCCCCAGGTCCTTCTCGGCAGGGCTGCTCTCAATCCCTTCATCCCCCAGCCCGTATTGATACTGGGTATTGCCCTGGGCTGGGTACAGGAGCTTGCACGTGGCCTTGTTGAACCTCATTAGGTTCATATGGGCCCACTTCTCGAGCTCATCCAGGTCCCTCTGGATGGTATCCTGTCCCTCGGGCAGGCTGACATACTACTATATCTTGCTAATATTTCACTTGTAGAGCTCCTTTGCATACATGCAAGTGGAGGCTTAGGTAGAAGCATAGTAGATGGGTTTTGTGCAGATGCTTGGGGTGCACAAAGGTCCTTAGACCCATCTCAGTCTGGTCCATGCCTCTTCCTTTCCTAAGCCATGTAGTCCATCCTGGCTCTGGGTCTGTTGTCTTCACAGATAGAGCTGATAATGGAGGCGATTCACAAAAACAGGAATTTGCAGTACAAGAAGACCATGGAGGTAAAGCAAACGTGCTGCTGTTTCTTGCCATATGGGTTAACGCTGCTAACATGCGCAGCACTGGGGCAGACTTAAATTTGAGGTTCTTCCTCCGCTGCTGCAACTCTCTACGTTGTGTCTGCACGAGTGGTATGCAGGGTGTGCTCAGAAAAACTGAAGAGTACGCCAGCGACACGGCCGGTGGTAGCCTCGCAGGGCTGGATGTGAGTGATTTATGTGTCATGGACTCGTTGCCATGAGCTTTCCGTCCCAAACGGAGGGCAGCTTGTCCTGTGAGGCCAGTTTTGCCCAAGCGGTGGGGCACGTAGGACCTCACGTGCCGTCCTCTGCTCTGCTGGCAGCCTGCACCCGCCTCGTCACTCGTGGGCTGTGCTCTCCTCCAAAGCCTCTCGCGTGAGCTGTGCTTGCATCTCGCTGCGTTGCTTGCTGACATGCTCCCGCCCCGTTTGGTGGCAATCCTAGGCCAAGCGGCTCTACGAGCAGCGCTGCAGGGACAAGGATGAGGCGGAACAGGCTGTGCACCGCAACGCCAACATGGTGACGCAGAAGCAGCAGGAGAAGGTACGGAGAGGCGAGTGGCTGTGGGGCAGCGGGACAAAGGGAGGTTGTCTTCTTGCCGCTCTCCTGCCCCATGGATCCTCTCCCCACTGTGGGTTTTGGGGTGAGACGGGAGGGCTGGTGATGTTCCCCGGTTGGGCTGCGGTGCCGTCGGTGGTGCACCAAGGCTCTCCTCTACCTTTCTTCTCTCTCCCATTTTTGGCAGCTGTTCCTGAAGCTGGCTCAGACAAAATCAGCTCTGGAGGACTCCGGTGAGTATGGAAATGCAGCGTTTGGAGGGTGAGGGGAGCTTTTCCTGGGGCAGGGGGTTGTGAAGCCATGGCATGGCTCTCAGGTGACCTCCAGCTCTTGGGTGCCAAAGACACTGGAGGTGGGCACCTGGTCTGGAGAAGACTGCATGGCCCCACCAAGGCTGCTCCCACCGTTTCCCTATGGCAGGACCCTCTGCCTTGCTGTGCGTCCCCGTGTCCCCTTGCAGCGCCCACCCACAGCCAAGCTCACGTGTTACTGCTGCTTTCTCCCTGACGCCCATTTTGGACTTCACACATTACCTTCTAGCGAAGGGATTTTTTAATTAATATGAATCAGATGACAACATGATTTCCCTTGCAGACAGGAGTTACCAGCAGAGCGTTACCACGCTGGAGAAAATCCGTGAAGAATGGCAGAAAGAGCACATCAAAGCTTGCGAGGTAAATGCCCCAAAACGCCTTCATGCGGCAGCGTGGTCCTCTGGATGTCCATCCCTTGCTGCAGGAGTCACGGACGGCGCAGCTTTGCCTTCTCTGCATTCCCCTGGCAGTGAAGCAGCAGGATGTGTTGCAGCTAACCCCGCGTTTGTCTTACCCTTAGCTTCTGGATTCAGGGTCCCAATACCTCAGGGTTTCCACTGGTTTTTTACTTTTATTTTTTCCTGCCAGCATCTTTTAAAATTTACAGAGTCAGTGCACTAAGCAGTGACATTTTTGCTCATTACCTGCCTGCATGTTCGGTGTGGCCATCATCTTGGACGGTCACGGTCACAGTCACGGTCATGGTCACCTCTGCACACCCGGCGATTTGAGGCCAATGTGTTCTATAGCTGCAACACCACCCAGCAGACTCTGAAACTCTGAAAGACTTTAAATAGAGAATGCTGCCAGGCTGGGCGAAGCCATCCCCGTGCACCAGCAGCCTTTTGCCTTGTATCTCACAGAAATATAGAATCACAGAATCGTTTGGGTTGCAAAGGACCTTTGAAGGCCATCTAGTCCAACCCCCCTGCCGTGAGCAGGGACATCTTCACCCAGATCAGGTCGCTCAGAGCCCCATCCAACCTGGCCTGGGATGTTTCCAGGGATGGGGCATCGACCACCTGTCTGGGCAACCTGGGCCAGGGCCTCACGACCCTCAGTGTAAAAAATTTCTGCCTTAAGTCCAGTCTAAATCTCTGCTCTTTCAGTTTAAAACCATCACCCCTTGTCCTGTTGCTACAGGCCCTGCTAAAAAGCCTGTCCCCATCTTTCTTACAAGCCCTCTTTAGGTCCTGAAAGGCCGCAATAAGGTCTCCAAATGGTGACTCCATGGACCTCTCTCATGGAGCTCCACTCTCACGGACCAAGTGGTAGTGTGGGAACCCCTGCGAGTGGTTTTATCACCCTGGGGCAGACTGTCTCAAAGAGAAGTGATCTTGCAAGGATTTCTAGCACGTGCTGGGGAACTCCAGGGCTGGTGGTGAGAGGACCGTGCAGCGGCTCTGCTGCTGAGCTGTGTCTTAGAGCTGCCTGTGATCTGTGACCAAGGGATGGACAGGACTGCAGAGATCAAGGTTTTACCCCAGGTCTGCTGCAAGCTTGCAAAAGGTCTTCCTATCCCCAGCCACGCCAATCCCTTCCCAGGCTGTTTCTCCTCAGGCCTCTACTTTTCTTTTTCCTTTTGAAATGGAATTTGCTGTCTGTTTTGTGTGGCATGCGTTGGTGTCTCAGTGCTGGTGTGCTTTTGGTGTCTGGGGTCTCCAAAAGCCTCTCTGACGGTGGCACGTGGAAAGCAGTAGTTTCACTTCCACAGACGGAGATTTTCCCCTCGGTATGTTGCAAAGGTCATAACTGATAACAAGTGCATACGTACGCTCCGGGATGAAAGGTTGTCTTCTGTGGAAATGCGTAAAGGCACTTGGAACTGAAGTATACCAGACAGCAGATTTCAAAAGACTTGGGTTTAAACCTGCTGGGAAAAGGGCTGGGCGGGAAAGAAGGAGAAGAGCAGCCAGCTGATGCACCTCTGTTTTCGTACATCCCCAGTGCTTTTTTGTTGCTCCGTACCTGTGGGAGGGAAGGGAGCTGGGACCGCAGGACCACGGTGTGCCCAGGGAACATGCACTGCTGTTAGAAGCTGCCTTGGTCTTCCCAGAGGCAGTGGTGTGCCGGGTGACCCCTTCCACATTGGTCCTGCAGACCTTCCCCACCTTAACACTCATCTTTGAAACACCTGGTTGCATAGAGGGATGATTTCTCCTCTGGGCAAGCTGGAGGGCTCATGGTTTCCATGTTTCCTGCAGAAGACCAACACCACCTGCGCCTCGCTGCGGACAGTCATCTTTGTGGTGGCACTTAGGGATGAGAAGCAATCAAGATAAACAAGATTTGCTCTTGTTTTAAAGACGTTAGGTCTGTGTCATTTCAGTTCTTTGAGACTCAGGAGTGCGAGCGGATCAACTACTTCCGCAATGCCCTCTGGCTTCATGTCAACCAGCTCTCCCAGGACTGCGTCCAGAATGATGAGGTATGTTAAATGAAAATCTTCATTTTTCTGTTTGGAAAGGAAAGCCCAATGTGCTTTCCTATGCACTGAGCTGCGTTATGTCCGAGTTGGCCTGTGGCCTTTGATCTGCCACCAGACACCAGCGTGAGTGTGCAGGCAGAAGGTTTTGGCCAGAGCTCTTGCAGATGAGATTTCCTCTGGGATTCCCATGTTTTTTGAGGGTGGTGAAACCCTGGTAGAGTTTTCCCAGAGAAGTGGTTGAAGCCGCATCTCTGGAAGCATCCCAGGCCAGGCTGGACAGGGCTCTGAGCAACCTGATCTGGGTGAAGATGTCCCTGCTTGTTGCAGGGGGGGTGGCACTAGATGGCCTTCACTGGGCTGTCACCCTATGTGTGATATACAATTGGACAAAACCCTCTTGTTTTTTGACTTGATGTATAGAAATGGTTTTTATTTCCCTTTTGCAGAAATATGAGAACATCCGAAAGAGTTTAGAAATGTGCAGCATTGAGAAGGATATTGACTTTTTTGTAAATTTACGCAAAACTGGAAGTTTGGCCCCAGGTAAGAGCTCAGTCCAGTCTCACAAAGTAGTGCTGACTTGCTCGTACTCCTCATGGAGCTGCTGCTCTGATCAGCATCAGTTTGTATACAAAAAACATTGATTTTGCCACATCCCTCCTTTCATTCACTGGCATGCAGCACTAGGCTCTGCCACTTATCACCAGCCCCTGAAGATAATCCCCCCTTATCGTAACATTTTATTTCCTGATCCGGCATTTTCCCAGAGAGGGGAAAGACTTAGCAGCTGAATGTTGGTATGACAAGTAGTTTATGGCTATAAAAGGTCTGTACTTTACTATTGTCAACTTTTCCTAGCTCCTGTTGTTTATGAAAACTACTATAATACGCAGAGAAATCCAGCTCCTGTGAGAAGTCCGGCTCCTGCACCTATATCAAGGTAAGGGGCGTAACACATACACTTGCAGTTGCTATTGTAAAATTATGCTCCCCCCCAAAAAAAAAGTGGATTTTGTTGCTTTCAGTCTATTGGAGGCTCGACTTGGGAGTGTTAGAGGACAGTATTTCCCACCCTATGTAGTCCGTCACTTTTTACAGCACAGGTTACGGCAATGTGCTGCCTTCTACAAGCTGTTCAAGGACCCCCTCAAGCCCAGTCAGAGGTTTTTGCTCCCCCTTGTGGGGTCATTTCTCCCTTCTCATGGGTGGGAATGTTATTCTGAAAGCGCTTGTGGTGAGGGTGTGCTCATTTTCTCTTGTGCCAAGCCTCTTCCAGAAGTCCTTTGCACGGAGGTGAGGGGCTGTGGTACTTGGACAGCAGAAAAGCAAGGCAGTTTCATGTCTTGCTCTCTCTGGGAACAATCTGAGCTCCCTTTCAGAGCAGCCTTTTATACCAGAATGAAACCTTTTCGGCTTCCCTGCATGGTTCTCCATGAGGTTTGTCTATCTGAGGAGAGATGGATCAGTGAAAACCATGTGTGGGTAGAGGGAGGAACAGCAGAGCCAAACTGACTGCCCCGGGACAAAAGCTGGGCGGGGAGGACAGGGTGAAGGATGGTTCTGCTGGGGGGAAGGTGAGGATTCAGGGCCAAAGACTCTTGGTAAAGATGAGTGTGCCACTTTGGCTGTCACGTCAGGAGAGGAGTCATGGCCAATTATGGCTTCCTGATGTCTCACTCTGGGCAAAGGCATGCGAAAAGACATGCCCTGAGGCTCACTTGTGACTGTTTCCCCAACTTAGTGTTTTTTGCTTACTTTTTCCTCTCCCCCCACCGTATCAGCTTCAACTCCCATGTCTGCCAAGCAGGCTGTCGGTGGTGAGCGCACCATGACATGCCTTGGTACCAGGTCTCCATAAAGCTTTGGGAGGGCAGCTGGGGAGCGCCGAGTCAGGGCAGTGGGAGTCCCGTGGCCATGCAGATTCTCAGCTCTGTCTTTCCTTCTGTGCAGGAGGGGACCTCTACCAACCCCGACCAGCACGCCAGGTGAGTTACTTGCTTTATGGGGTTTGTGGCCCCACAGAGAAACTCTCTGCTTTTGCTCTTCCCCATCAGATCATGAGCTTTAGCTCTCTAAAGGCATTGCTTTAGGTGAAGCTCCTGCTTCGAGTCTGGTCCCCACTGACAGATGCTCTCTGGTCCCCACTGACAGATGCTGTGAAGTAGGGCACTGACTTTGGAGGCAAGGTTTCACCCAGGAGAAGTTCTGATCAAAGCCCTGTGTGTAGGCATTTCGGGAGCTTAAGGATGTCTAAGCTTGGGATCCCACCCATCTCTGCTGTTTGGGCCCTTCTCTGCTTCAGCAGCATGAGCTGTATCATTCCTAGTGCCACTTCAGTGATGGGATACTGCACCAGGACTCGGTGAAATGAGGTCCTGCTTTGGCTCTTGGGCAAATCAGGCCATCTCTTTGAGTCTCATTATCCCCTACCTCCCATCCCTTTAGCACGGGTGACCAGCACATGGTGTTTCTGTTGTGTGTAAAGCTTCGTAACGAGCACTTCTCATGAGCAGACCTAATTTTTTTGTGCTCTGCATTTCAGGGGAACCTGATTACACCACAATTGATGGCTACAGCTTGATACATCACTAACAGCCACAGTAAGTACTCACATTTGATGAAGAAAGGATTTAATATGAGATGCAGCTACACAGAGGAGGGAGAGTGGAGAAAGAAAGGCCACTGGTTAAGGGATGACATTTTGAGGTGACCGACTGGGAGTGATGATCTTGTCAGCCCTCCCATAGCTCGTGTGAGCTGGAGCTGTGGTTTAGACGCTGTTGATCCTGTTCTGTAGGTTCTCCAGGCAGAAGACACTGTTGGTCTGGCCAGCGTGGCAGAGGTGGTGTTTCCAGTTATTCCCAGCCACACAGAGCTGAAATGCTTCTGCGTCTTAAGAAAGTATTTGAGGACTCTGATAATTATTTGTACGTTCAGGAAGTGCCTACTAAAAATCTGTGCCTTTGATCAGCAAACTCCTTGGACAGATACCCCATCTTCACACTCAGGGGAAGAAAAGGAGCGTAAGCAATGGACCCAGACACAGAGGTGACCTGTGTCAGAAGAAGTTTTTGAAGTTCTTCTGAAGTGCAGCCATCTGGGAGAGATAACTGGAGAAGTCCTACGTGCTGAGGGGAGCATTGCGATGCTTTGGGCACGATGAGTGGTGTTCGGGGCTTACTTATCCCACTCAGATCTTGGGTCACGCTTTCGCCTGTTTCTAAAGTCTTTCATTGGTGGTGATTAAACTTGTAGTGTTAATTTGGTGATGTCTCTCAGGAAGCTTACTTAGAGGAGCACCAATGGTTACACCATGGGTCTGGCTTAGCTGTAGCTGTGCTCCTGGCTTAAGTGCTGATACTGGGAGCTGATTGGCACCTTGCCTGGTGCGGCAGCCCACAGCACAGCTACCTCGTGAGAGGCTGGGCCGCCACAAACCCTCTGGGAAGTCCTGCCCCCCACCGCCTTGTTGAGGCCCCCCGCACCGCTGCGTGGGGAGAGGCTGGGCCGCCACAAACCTTCTGGGAAGTCCTGCACCCAACAGCATTGTTGAGGATCTGAAGGAAGTCAGTCAGCTCTCCCAGCCGCCCCTCTGATTGAGGGGCTTGCGGTTTGTTAGGCTCATGGTATAGCTTGTCCCTGGTAGGCGCTGGAGACCCCTGTCTGATTAATTTCTGGGAATCCCTAACCTTTGGGCTTGTTCTGACCACTGGAAACAAACTTAGCTACTAACGCTGCGCTGGAGCCATGAAACTTGTTTTTTGATCAGGTCTCCTCAAAGTTCGTGCCCTTTTTGTTATGGTATATACGACTATGGCTTTGATTCAGAAACTCACACGCCTTGGGGCTGCTGGTCGCTCTGAGGTCCCTGTGGGCGGTGTTGCTTAACAGCTCCTCAGTGCCTTACAACGCTGGAGATGGTGACACAGGACATGGGGACCAGGACACAGTTGGGGTGTCTAAACCTGATGCCAGGTGACTAACTTCGGAGCAACAGGAATTGCTAGTTGTATGATGTTCTTCAAGTTGAATCTGCGTGACTTCAGCATGTGCCTAAGCCCACTGGCCCCATGGCTTCTACTGCTTTCCCTCATGCAGAGAAGATCATGGTGAGCTTTAACATCTGTCCTGCTGCATTACAATGAACCATGCGAAGTTCACATGTCAAGGAATCAGTTGTCCTATTTTATTTCTGAAAGACCATATGTACAAATATTCTTCTGAAAGAGCCTGCTGTAGCCTTAGTTCTTCAAATACATGTTTTAAAAATAACTTTTGAGACTCGTGTGCTGGGTACATTTTTTTAAAGATTGTCCTGTTGGTTTTCTGTCGGGGCTGGGGCTGGTACAGCTTCAGAGCACCCTAGGATGTTTGGGTGGTGTGAGCTGCCTCCCCTGGAAGGAAGCCCACAAGAGCGTATCCTTCCTCAGCCTTTATTCCAGTGCTTGCTCTGTGCCAAGATGGTTGTGGGAGAGAACACCCCAAAGAGGGCTGGCATGAGAACAAGTACTTGTGATCAGCCATGAACTGCAGACCACGTAGGGCCCTTTCCCCTGGAAGAGTATCTGCTCTACAATACATTGCACAGTTTCTTTATTGGGATTTTTCATCTGACCAAGAACAGCAGGTGGTGTTAGGCTTTTCTGCATGTCGCGGTCCCCAATGAGGCTGAAACTTGGCTTGCACAAACACTAAATGCACAGAAGTAATCCCAAAACAGGGGTGCTGATTCTGAATACAGCAACCCTTTGAATAAACCTAAAGCCAAACAAAACCTGGCTTGGAAGAGGTGTGTCCAGACATGGAGCTAACAGGAAGGAACTCTGTGTGCCCATGAGTACTGAAATGGCTTTTTAACTTCCATATCTTCCCTTGCCTGGTTGTCTTCCATGTGGTGCAGAAGACTTTGGCCTCCTCCCAGCGCCCCGTGGAGGAGCCTAGCCTCCTCCTGGGCCCCTATAGTGAAGCTGGGCTTCCTCACAGATGTCTGGCAGGAGGCCAGACCCCTATAGAAGTGCCTGGCCTCCCTACAGACCCTGGTAACCACCTGTGCAGCTCCTGCCTTCCCTCCCGGGGCTGCCCCCCAGGAGAGAGAGAGACAACAAATGCCTTAGCAAGACAACTGCTTTAATAAGACAGAATAAGAGCAGGAATACAGATAGTAAATCTTATGTCCCTTCAGATGCTGGGCACCCTGCCTTCGGGTGGAATTGGATGGAGCTCTCCCTTTTTGGTCCTTTGAGCTCATTTATAAATTACTGAGAAGAAAACAAGCCTGTTCCTAAAGGATGTTCACAAGAGAACTTCTTGGTGCATTTCCATATACATGCAAGGTCAGGCAGGTGCCATAAAGGCCGGTACCACAGGGTATCGTGTTTCTCAAGCCCTAAGTACAAGGTCCAATAGAGCAGAAGTGGCCTGTTCAAGATCGTTGACTCCTCAGCTACAATGTCTGCTGCAAAGTGGACCTGAGCTCTGTGAGGGCTCATCTGTCTGGGGACTGGGAGACGTCACTTCTGCTCCCAGTGGGGCTTGGACTCGGCTCCATCCGTGGCTCCCTGGGGACGGCTGGGTGCCAGGGCAGGGATCAGAAGGGGCGGAGGTGGCTGGCCCCCTGGGCTGAGCCAGCAGCTCTGCTGGGGCCAGAGGAGCCTCAGGGGCTGCCGGGCAGGGCGGGCCCGCCCCAACGGCGGTCCTGCCACGGCACAGGCAGAGACCTCCTGTGTGCAATCCTCACCAGCAAGGGCTTGGCTTCCCACCCCAGATTATCTCTAGCAGCAGCCTAGCCTCCCCATAAATCCTTACAAGGGACCCTGACCTCCTCCCATGCCCCTATGGAGGAGCCTGACCTCCCAATAGATCCTTATAGGGGAGCCTGGACTCCCTGCAGGTCCTTATGGAGGAACCTGTCCTCCTCCCAGGTCCTTACAGGGGAACCTGGCCTCTTCGTAGGGCCCTACGGAGGAGCCTGACCTCCCTAGAGATCCTTCTGGAAGAGCCTGACCTCCCTATAGATGCTTATAGCAGAGACTGGCCTCCCTTCAGGTCCTTCTGGAGGAACCTGTCCTCCTCCCAGGTCCTTATAGGGGAACCTGGCCTCTTCACAGGGCCCTATGGAAGAGCCTGACCTCCCTATAGATGCTTATAGGGGAGCCTGACCTCCCTGCAGGTCCTTCTAGAGGGACCTGTCCTCCTCCCAGGTCCTTATAGCGGAACCTGGCCTCTTCATAGCGCCCTGTGGAGGAGCCTGACCTCCCCATAGATCCTTGTAGAGGAGCCTGGCCTCCCTGCGGTCCTTCTGGAGGAACCTGGCCTCCTCTCAGTCCCGCTGGGAGAAGCCCGGCCTCCCCACCGATCCTTACGGGGAAACCCTGCCCCCTCCCGGCTCCCTCCGCAGACA